CTTGCTGATGAGGGAAGTGAACCAAGTGTTCCGGTCCTGCTGCAGTAAACAGCAACTGGCTCATGACTGCCTTTCCAGGTTGCAGAAAACCATCAGAGTCGGCCAACGTAAATATCCTCCACACATTGTTGAGGTGGAGGCTATACAGGTGCGGCATTCGGAACATGTCCGAGATGTTTGTACATGTATTTATGGTGCTGTATGGATACTTAACCAACATCAAACCTGCAGAAATTATTGTTGTAAATGTAACATTGTACTAACGATTCACTTATTCAATGATGTATCATTTGCATTCTCGTAACTTCTGTTCATGTTTTTCTCTTTAGCACAAGACTACTCAGATATTCCATAAAGTGTATTTCCCGGATGACAGCGATCAGGTTCAAATGTCTTTGTTTATCGTTTTCTTCACGAGCATGAAAACTGTGAAGTTCAACTCACCTCGATCTGTGAACTTTGCTTTTTTTTTTAGTAACGGACTTTTTCAATTAAGCAACCTGTTTGGATTGATCATAGGCAGTATATTGGCGTCAGTACAGATAATTATCGACTTATTCAAATTGATATCCACCTTTCCTTCCTTCAAACAGTCAAACGCGAGTTTATTTTGGAAAGATCAATTGCTTTGCTTGCTCATTAGCTTAACGATCGTTATTTTAAAAACCCTGTCTTGAAGATTTGTTGTAGCTTTTTTTTTCCTTTGAATATATGTCAAAGTATTAAGAAACAAACGTCTTATCCACTTTGCGTGCAACTGTGCCATCGGTAGTCCTGAGATTTTTCTTTCGCTTTAAGGTGGAATTGACTGACGATTTTGCATTCCTATCATTGATATATTGTTATTTCACTGCAGGCCTTTGAAGTGGATTCCAGCACACGCGCCAAAGAATTTTGTGCTGTTGTTGCCCAGCGTCTGGGACTAAAGTCTTCTGAAGGATTTAGTTTGTTTGTTAAGATCACTGATAAAGGTATTATGATAATAACATGGCTTCCATTACATGGCGACCATTCAAGTTGTTTTGGTGCTTACAATTGTACTCTCTGCTTGCAGTGATCAGTGTACCTGAGGGAGATTTCTTCTTCGATTTCGTGAGACATTTAACAGAATGGCTCAAGAAAGCCAGACCTACACGTGATGGTACGAGGCCTCTCTTCAGAACTCACTAGCTTTAAAAAACTTACTTACTAAGGGATCATATGTGTGATGCTCCACCATTCTTTAGATGGTTTTAAACTTTATTAGTTTTGAATTCATAAATAATGAGCTCGACGCTTATTTCTTACCATGATGGTACTGAGAAGCCTTATTGTCAAATGATTTTAATCCAAGCAAAGTGATTTCAACCGAAGAAGAGAAACCTAAATCAATATCAACTATTCAGACAATTTTTCTCCTTCATATCGCAAACATTTGTTCTTGAGTAGGAAATATTTGATCAAAGTATACTTATTAATAGTATTAAAAAAGGTTTTATGAACGTATAGTGAGACGCATGTAACGCATGTATAGAATTCGTTCAATCTTTGCAACAGATTAAATCATTTATTTTTTCCCAATATTTTTTTTATTTGAAGCAGTCAAAACGAAATTCAATTGGCTGGTATTTTTTATTTTCAGGTCAACTGCCGAATTTAACTTATCAAGTGTTCTTTATGAAAAAGTTATGGTCAACAACTGTGGTTGGAAAGGATGTTGCAGCTGACACGATCTTTCATTATCACCAGGTATAGAAGTTACTAGTATGAAGTTACTAGGTATAGAAGTTACTAGTATGAAGTTACTAGGTATAGAAGTTACTAGTATGAAGTTACTAGGTATAAAAGTTACATTTCCACTGTTTCGGTATGTGTCTGTCACTCACACTCCACCATACACTCAATTATCGTCAAGTGTCCGCCACTAGTTTCTTTTTTTTTTTTCTTTTATGATTATTTAAATATGGAATCAACTGCCAGTCTGGAGTTTATTTATAGGACCAGATTGTAACTCTTACCGCATGCTTTTGACGAAGGCATAACTTTAATGATCATATATTTTGAATTTCTTGCATTTTTCAACATTCTGTTTGTATCACTGTAACTAATTCAAAAATGTGTCTTACCAGGAGTTACCTAAGTATTTACGAGGCTATCATAAATGTACAAAAGAAGAGGGAAGCCAGCTTGCCGCGCTTATTTACAGGGTACGATTTGGCGAGGACAAACGAGAATTCCCCAGCATACCGTAAGAAGCAGCAATCTATTTTTCCGTTGCATGTCTGTGATGAATGCTACATAGATATTCTGAAAAGAGATTGCTTTTTACGAACATAATATTTGCTCTTTTGATTTGTCTCCCATATATTTAAGAAACGCTTTAATATCACAACCAAAAAGATTTTTGATGAATGGATGGTGTCACTCATGTGAATGTCATTGTATCCAAAATAAGCACAAGTGTTGAAAGGGTATAGCGAGGTTGTTATCAACTTGTTATTTCTTGGTAATGCCGTTGCAAAGATTGTACTTAAGTGATCATGTTTATTTTCTGTTGTTGTTTTTTAATGATACACAGAAAAATGTTACGTGAGTTGATTCCATCTGATCTTTGCGCTGAACAGTCCCCGGATGACTGGAAGAGGGTTGGTAGTGTCCTTTAAGTGTTCATTTGTGGCTATTTATAAGTAACACTATCTGTTCGCTATTTATAAGCAACACTATCTGTTCGCTCTTTATAAGTAACACTATCTGTTCGCTATTTGTTTTTATGACTTTGTCATAAATCTGTTTTTTACGTTGTCTTTTTTCATTATATTTTTCCAGGCCATAGTTGCTTCATTCAATAAACATGCAGGCAAGTCAAAGAATGAAGCCAAAATCTCGTTCCTGAAGATCATTTACAGATGGCCAACATTCGGATCAGCTTTCTTTGAAGTGAAGGTGAATGAATTTTAAACCTTACAAAAATAGAGAGAAATGTTTATTCCATCGTTCTTTCTTAACGTCGTGGGACACAATAAACCAGTTGCCGTGCGTTGTATGTGAAAAGGGCTGAAATCATAAACACTGATCACAGAAAAAGTAAATGTGTGCTAAACTGGTAAGTTTCTGTGGCAGCACGGTACAGTTTGTCGTCCTTTCAATGAATTAAGAAGAATAACTCTCCTTTCGGTTCCTTCTTCCGGTAAAGGTAGAAGTTATAGCTTGTGTTTTGTATTTTACAGAAAGAAATTAGATAGCTTTAATATTAAATATGTTGGTTTTGTCCTTCAGCAAACTACGGAGCCGAACTTCCCTGAACATTTGCTGATTGCTATAAACAAAAATGGTGTGAATCTCATTAATCCACGAACTAAGGTATGCGGAGAAAGTATGAAGTAGTTCATGTTCTTAGTTATGTTATTCCTCGAAGAGAAGATTAATGAACTGTATTCCATACTTCAATTTTCTCATCATAACGGTTTATTGCGGTTTATTACCTGCAGCTCTGTTGTCTGATTAGGTGTGATATTTGTTTCTTAGGATATCCTCGCCACTTATCCGTTCACCAAAATTTCAAATTGGAGCAGCGGTAACACGTATTTCCATATGACGATTGGTAGTTTGGTGAAAGGAAGCAGGCTTCTTTGTGAAACATCGCTGGTAAGATGGATTTCTACTCCGATACTGAACACAGTTTGCCGCCTACAGAATAATGCAGTGCAAATGCATTCCCTTCAGTTGTTCACTCAAAAATTACCGCTAAGAGTGGTATAATAAGAAACTGGAACACAAGTCACTGGCGAGTTTATCACCGTTGTTTTAATCACAGTTTGATGTCTTCTGTGATGAACAACTGTTGAGACACCCCACAAAATAAAATTTCTGTTTCATTCAAAGAGCAAAATGAAAATCGTGTGAAAACTTAATTTCCTTTCCTTGCTTAATGCAACCCCTGGATAACTTTGTTCGAAACCTTCGCATGTCATCGGGAAAATCTCGCCAACAAGACTGCGTGCTATGTTTAAAAGACAAAAAAAAAAACAAAGACTAAGAACAGAGCGCTGAATGATTTGTAAGTGAACGCGAAAGCTGTTTTGTTTCTGCAGGGTTACAAAATGGACGATTTGCTGACTTCATACATCTCTCTTATGCTGACTACAATGAATAAACAGAAGAAACCTGCAACACTAAGAGCTGTCAAAAAATAACACTTCAGTTGTTACTTGTACTAGGTAGTGATTTAATAATTTCTTTATTCGCTGAACATGTTGAAAAAAGTACAGTCAGATACTTTGGGTGAGCCTGTTTATTTATCTCTTCTATAGAGCCATAGGAATATCCTGTCGTTGGCTTGTTCATGAGAGTATCGCAGTGTAAATTGTTGTCTTTATAATTTTTTGTCTATATAATTTTTAGTCTTTATAGTATGAGTAGAATCAGACTGATGATATCATTTAAGCTGCGCTTGCTGTTGGAAAAAAAAAGCTTGGATAACTCGGACATTAGTCTCTTGAAATGCGATAGCGATTTCGTCTCAAATTCCTGATTGGGAATGGAATGGGAAAAAGAAGGAATGGGCCACCACTTTGTGGCTGACACTGCTGAGCATTTAGTTGTAGGTTTCTTGAAAATATGGCAGTATATTTATGAGAATTTAGTATTTAAAGAAAAAAAATTCATTAGATTATTGCAAGCTTTGGGGAATTTAAAAGACCATTTCAAGAAGGACACTAACGACCTGCACTGTGTCATTTAAATGATCAGTGATGAAGCCTCCATGTCTTGTTTGACTACTATCTCGCCAGCAAGGGCAGTTCTAAAGTAGTGGTTATCATGATTATTACCGTAGAAGCTATTGTAGCAGTTACCAGTTAGACTTGAAACTTGCTGTTCTTAAAGGTTCATTAAAGAATACTAACTGTTTCTGGTCATTGAACGTGATGATTCTGATAAGTTTTTCGTCTCCATTATTAGTATCTTTTTTTCGCTCAGGGGTCGATTTTACAGATTGTTCAATATCCTTTCAAGAGTCTTGTGTCATATTTGGAGATGCCTCGCATGGTCTTTTCAATGGCGTGTTGATACCTCACTGATCCTCACTGTGAGGGAGGTTGTCGGCAGAATTGACGAGTGGAGCGTCGCGTCTTTTCCCTCGAAGGCGAGATTCAGGTATTCTCCCAAGGGAGGAAGGGCGTGGGTGTTTTGAGTGGTATTCTGGGATTGCTGAGATAGTGTTGACCAAAATGTCTCCTTCCTCGCATCAGTAGACATAAACTTCTATGGAAATGAACAGTCCTGCTTACTTCTGCGCAGAACACGCGCTTTGGTTTGAATTACGTGTTAAATGCATTCTTGTACCGCTGACACCATGCTCAGTCCACCGCAGTCCAGACAAATGTAACAAGGCCTCAAATGATTACCACTTTCAAGATCAATAGAAATCTTTGAATTGAATGTAGGATCAAGGTTTTTCATCGTTGGTGCGCTAAATAAACTTTTATGGATTCTCAATGAATAAATTACTGACGAGAAAGCAAACATTCTAGCTGATTTTGGGTGAATTGTGATTTACGCAGGTTTGGTCTTAGATTTTTTCACCGTTGTCTGCGAAGTTCGACCATTCACCCATTAGACTTCTTGCTTGTTCATCTTTCGGCATTCTATTATATTTTCTGAAATGAACAGAAATATTTACGTTTAATACAGTAACGTTTAACTTTTTGTGCTTGATATCACCTTATAGCGGTAGATAATGTAGTGCTTGAAACTGACAAACAATTATCTCTTTAATGTTGTGTAAGTCAATTTAGCTAAAATCCTTTGTTATCAGCTCTTTACACCTCATCCAAGGTAAGATATCCGATTAGCAATCACATTTTCTAAGGCTGATGCCTCAAACAGGCCTTGGATGTTATCTTTGTCTCAGGCGTTGCATGTTTCAGTGACTCATTTCAAAACTTTAACTCCCACAGTTATACAAGCTCTGTATCCCTATGAAGTGACCACTCAAAAATAAATGGAAGTTTCTTCAGCACAATATGATTAATGTGAACTGAATTGTTCCAAAACGCACAGACCGGTGCAGGTTTTCATACCTGAGCTTCTTGGTGGTTCTTTCCCCGGCAGATCGGAAAAAGAAATATGCACCAAAGATAGAGAATAAAATCACACAGATTACTATTGTTGGAGTGAAGCTGGCTGGACTTTCCATATCATGATTGTGGTCTTTGTGCGGCGAATCTGAAAGAAGTTTAGACTTGAGCACCCGTTTTTGACAAATAGCACTAACTGAGATATAATAAGCCGTGGATTTTTACATCATGGCAAATTTACGAGCAATAAGAACACACAGTCACATTGCAACCGCACAACTAAATCTGTTTAGAATATGCATGTACGACAAATGTCAAAGCACAAAGTCCTGGGTATATAATTTACCTTGTGCAGGATGCGTGATATCACTTAAATGCCCACATGACGTTACGAGCAACAACACTTGATATTTATCAATTCCAGCTTGGTTGCCAGCGATACAGTCGTACAATCCCGTCATATTTGCACGAGCAGCTGGTATTATTAAGTCACTCAATGTTGTGCTGTTCTGCAATGTTTGACCATCTCGTAGCCACGAAGTCCACGGCTGTGGATTGCCAGTCACGTGACACGATAATACAACAGAGGTACCTTCCGAAGCTTCCACTTTCGCTAAGTTGCTGTTTTTCTCTTTGATTTGTGGTGGAGCTAGAAAACGATAACAGTACAAAAAATATATATTCCGAATCGGTAATTCAATGACAATGAACACTTCATGAAAATACTGAATAATTTATTACATGACCTAACTCGGTTACCTGAAAATTAATAATAGTCTTGTTGAGTTGTTACAAACGCTGTACCAGAAGTCTACATTATTGCTTAATATGTCGGAAATAATAAAGAAAAATTAGAAAATTCAAGTTCCCAATACTGGGACTGGGAGACTATCATTTACATACCAACTATTGTCAACTGTACTGTATGACGTACAGTGAATGAGTCTGAAAATTGTAATGAACAGCCGTACTCTCCTTCGTCTTGAGTAGTCACACGATGAAGTCGAAATGCAGCTGTAGTTTTGTTTCCAATCCATTCAATACGTTTGGATCGAGAAACCAAACTTCCATTCTTTGACAAGCTCATCAAAGGCGTTGAAATATCGCCATCACTCCACTGACCAAACAGCAGTCGGCGGAAATGAGCCCTGTCAGCTTGACTTAGGCGATAACGCCAGATCAAAGTCACATTGTTTCCACTGTGAGAAACAGTTGGATTGCAAGGGACGCTGATGAACCTTGAGTGACGTCCTACATAAACGAGACAAAATAGTTAGACACATAAACTGTCCGCTTCTGCACAGTCGCTTAAGACTGTCATACTGGTCTTTTCGTTGAGGTTCTAGATGGAGCCGCCTCTCCTTAAAAGCTCTCTACTTTAGTAGCGGGAATCTCTAGCTTCTTTAATTCTAGCAATTTACTATTCTCTTTTTACACAAACATTTCCAGAGTTTTCAGTAAAGCGGGTCAGTGTTCAGAATTCAGCCCTTCAACGCTGCTAGAGAGCAATAAAATGGATGAGGCGAAAACCTGGCGCCTTGCTCCCCGGCGTATCCCGGCAGAGCCTAACAGAACCTGCTCACGCGCCATCATACAATAACAGAACCTGCTCACGCGCCATCATACAATAACAGAAGAATAATTTAGAAAGGAAAGAGTGATGAGGCAAGATGTTAGAAATCGAGCCCACCCGGATCAAGGTACCCATATGTTTGGCAGTGAACACTTTGATCATTGCCACAGTGTATACAGAAAACGTTTGTTACAACTGGTGTATTACGTGTGTTACAACTGGTTCCTAGGCTGCCTTAACTCAACTAAAATAAGGCAGACACACGTCAGGAACGAACAAGCATTGAGCGAACAAGCATTGACCATGAAAGACACATGTTCAAAACCCATGCTAACACTTTTTAAAATGAAACTCAAACGGAATAAAAATCGAGCCAGATATACACTGATTTGCTCTTTACGATGGGCAACAAACAACAATGAACCTAAATCAGGAAAGGTTGGCAAGGAAAGATGATATATCGATTGTGCCAATAACTAAACTGAGACATATTTCGTCCAGTTGAAAACACAACAATTTAGGCTTCAACAACAGTCAAAGTGGCCCGGCAAACCACTTACTGCTAATGCACCCTATTTCGGGAATATCAAGGCCAAAGATATGAAAACCCAGTACGTCGTCAAACGTTTCTATGCCATAACTAATTTTAAAAATGCTTTGTCTTCGTACGAAATCGGAAGGAATAAGGGAAGCGTCGATAATTAATCATTGAGAGGCCATCTGCAGACAGAAGCAATAAAGCGAATGAATACATTCCTCACTTTCCACTCAGCCAAGCCCGGCAGCCGTCTGCAAAATACGCTCCTCCTATCAGAACGCATTGTGACTAAATCGAAAAACTAAAATCTTCTTTCCAATATCGCTGAAAGAGATCCAGAAAAGTTACATAACGTGATGGTTTAAAAGGCACGCACGTAATAGATATAAGAAAACAAACCCCACAAAGAGTTCTCGTTTTCACGCACTGAATAACAAAGTAACTCGTTCTTTGAAAATATCTTGGAGAAATAAAGTTAAAATTCGTATCAGCGCAAATATTTTCTGGCATATCACAAAGCTTTCTTAAGTGAAAAGGTAAATTCAATGGCAAACATTCATCTCGGCAGAGTGAGAAATGAGCGGACGCTAATTTACATTTTGGCATGTTTGTTCAATGTATAATTTATCGTTTTTCTCAGAGGTTGTGTTCGTTTGAAAATTTTCACAGAAGGAGAGGTTAAATCACTTATGAGGGCATAATGTAACACCCTCTCAATTTGATAAAATTTTCTAACGTTTCCGTCTGAAGTCGCGTCCTTTAAATTTTTTTTTAAAAAAAGGAGCAAAACAAATGTTACCTACCAGTGTAGATTTTACGCCTGTTACAATTGTGTAAACGAATTCACGAGTTTTGTACCTTCATTTGCATTTAAGTTTCAGTTTAAACTCATCCTGTTGAAAATTTGGAGATATTTTCACGTTCACTGAAGAAGTGAGATAAAAGGCATTTTTAAAATTTTTAATCGTTTTTCCCTCAAAATGCAGATCGATACTGAAGGTAATAATTACTCTTTCCTTTTTTTGTGTAACAAAATTTTTATTTGAAATATTCCACCCATTTTCCCTTTAGAAAGTCACTGAGGTACAATGAATTATTTGAGATTGCCGTCACATCCGATACATATTTTGTTTTTTCTACTCGTTATTTGCAACGAAAAATAGTTGCCGTTAATCAGTACATTGAAAGCCGAGAAAGAAAATGCTTGGGTGCATATCAGAGACGGTGTCAATCAAGGTATGAATGAATCCATCGTTCTCAACAGTCCTATCTGTACACAAATGTAGCGCCGCTTTATCATCATTCGCGGCGAGCACTAGTTTGGACTTTAACTTACCTTTCGTTCCCAAGAACCAAACGAAATAGAAAAACAACCAAATTAAAAACATCGCTTTTAAAAGCTATACGCGAAACGATCCCGAACTATTGCTGAAGGCGATTACCGTTGACAGTCAGTCTTAGAAAACCCCATGATACGGAACATTCTCTGTATTGTACACAATGTTACTTTTTGTCATGCGCGAGACAAGCTGAACCAAGTGAAATTATTGGAGAAATAAAGACAGTTTCATCAGCGTTGTTTTCATTTGAATTTGGAATGTCGCTAAAGTTGCTTGTTGAAGTTCAAACAATAGCACACTCCAGGGTGCGTCAGGTGGTGATCTGTGCCGGCAGGTGCCGGCAGGTGCCGGCTCACAAGTTGAAAAACCAAATAAAACAACAAAACTCAACGCCAAGTCTAATCCATGAGAGCACACATTATGTAAACCACTGAAAATCGCAAACCTACTACATTTTGATTTGCATTTTTTAAAAGTCTTTTAAATTTTCTCTTTGTGCTTTTTGAGTCAATTTAATGTGAAGTCCGTAAAAAATTTATGAATTCAAAATAATTCTGAGCGTATGATAATTATAGTGAATTAGAAGGTTATGGTTTTTACCTGACTTAAACAAAATACTGTAATTACAGTATAAATACTTCACTAAAAGTACTCGACTGTTTGAGGTGCTGCTTTGATTGAAAATGTTTAAAGCTGCTGAAGTAGTATCCTCTCCATTAAAGCTTAATGTCTAATCATTGTAGCATTTATCAGTATTAAAAACTGGTTTAATTGTTCCTAATGAATACTTCGTCAACGCACAAGTAATCATGGGTGCTTAGTGTTATTAAACATCGCGATTTCTTCAACCCCAGTCACGAATCAATGAATGAACCGGCCGCTCCCTGTCGCAAATCTAAAATCCACTAATCATATCGACGTTTTGTCTCTTCTCTTCGGCTCGATTAAAATTTTTCACTTAATCTCGGAATTAATGACATAAATGTAAACTTTACTTTTGTTTGGTGAAACACTCACACTTTGAAACCGAGTACACGCCTCTACTTGGGTTGTAAATAAATTTGTAGGAGAAATAATTTGATAAAAGTGTGATGTCGCTGCATTCATTGGAGTGACGTTGGTGTGGTGTCATAGGAGCACTATTAAACTCAGTGTTTTCTTGGGCTCAAGGCTCACAGCCAGCAGAGGAATAGTGCCGCTCAGTTTGTCCCCATTTACGTGCCAACGATTAGCCACTCCTCAATTAAGGGCCGTAAGTTAGAAAACTGTAACAGGTTACTGCGCTTCCCTCTTTAAATAAAGTTAAAGTTAAAGTTAAACCCCCCGCTAGTTACAAGTTTTACAACGAATCTACGTACAACGGACACCTCTGTCAGGGGACGCGGATAATTAAAATAAATCTCCTTTAGCACAAACTGGGAAATATGTTGTATCGTAGAAATACAATCTTCCGTCTGTAAAGAACGCTGAACTCCAAGCATTTCATCGAGTCTCCCCCTAAATGTTTGTCACACTTACATCATGTCTTAATTACCAAGCGGTAACGGCGCCAAATTTTTATTTCGCAGTTTCGTCTTAAAAAACAAGTAGTACGTCGCTTAAAAGGTTGACGAGCCTCTTTGGTAAATTAAATGTCACTCTGTTATCATAATATCTTGTAATTTACATTAACTTCAAATTAATTTATCTTAAGAACACCAGCCACTTATGACGTAATAACTAAACTCGCCAAGGTCATTCTGTACAGGAATGGCTCATAAGAGAACGTGGGACAGTCGTCAGTTCATTCTTTGTAATTGAGGTTGACAGCTGCCGCGACAAAGTATTAAAAATATCATATATTAAAATAAACAAATATGTACTCTCCAAATTTCAATATAGTAACTTATAAAACCCATTCGCACTGTATGAGTATCTTGAGTGCTAAATCTAGGTCGACCTCAGCTAAGGTGTTGACTGAAAAAACTCGAACCATTAACTAACCATCGTATCGTACACTATACATGCTCTTCTGAGAAATGTACCTCATAGCGACATTAAGTTTCTCCTGACCAGGAAAATCATAAATATTTTACTTCACAAAAGTACTGAAACTGCATATGTTCTCAATTAAGTTTTTAGAGAAAAATAAATAGATTTAAACACAGGATTCAAGTTGCAAATCAGTGAAGCCAGATATGGGGATGTATGAAGACAGATAGCTTCTCGAGGCATCTGGAACTGCATAGGAAGCCTGTGGCTGATGTCGCAGGAGAAAGGCTTGTCTGGCAGCCAGTGCCAACTGAATAGATGTTAGGGATCCCGTATGCTGCACAAGACGATAAAAATGACCCCATCTGTTTTGCAGAAGCAAGTGAGGCTCGTCAAATTCCTTTAGCCGACCATTGTCCAGGACCTTATTAAAATCAAATTAGAATTAGCCATTATGAGCATGACTAAACGTCATATCTATTCCACTTTCATATCTACTCTCGTCTCTGATATAAGCTGCCTACTTCTATTTACCGAGCCGACGCTACAGTAAATAGTTGTTTTAGAAATAAATAGTAAATAGTTCTACTAAAACCGTGAGATAATATAGCACAAAAAGATGACTTCAACTAATTTATTCGTGCAACGTTTAAATTCTTAGGGCGCAATCCCGCATGAGTTGCTCGGGATATTCAGAGTTTGAGTAGCGAATCAGAGCACGCCTTCGACCCATCCTTTGTTTTAGTATATAAAAATGTTAATAAGTATAATGGCTCAAGTGAGGGCTGCGCACGCTTTAATTGGTCGAGGACTGTGTCATATCTCGCCCTATTCACCTCGTGTGAGGTGATTATAGTAAGGGCGTTAAATTTCAAAATGGCTTCCTCACGTTTTGTCCATGTTACGCAAGAAGTGATAAACACAATAGGAGAAAATGCAATTCTGTTGAGCACAAAAGATGCTCATAGATAATTTGAACATAATAAACAACACTAGCTATGTGCCCATAAATAAGTTATCACACCAATTATACCATTACCATAACACGATCGCAGTCCATAATAGTTTTCAGTCGGTGGGCGATTGTAAGTACAGTGCAAGTCTGGAACCTCCTCTTTATCGTTTCTTGAATAAAGGAGTCAGTCCTAGATAAATTAAACCTTAATAAAGCTATAGTATTCAAATTCTTCATATCATTGAATTTGCAGTTAGAAAGCCCCAAAATAAAAAAAAAACAAAACAAAAACGAAACCTTCAAAGAAATCTTGATGAAGACAAGGAACTACTCATAAATACGTTCATAACCGTACCGTTGCATCAGCTCTGAACGATTCATGATCTCAAAGCAAAGAGAAATTGTAGCTTGGAGATACGGTAAGGGTTAAAGGAAAGTTAACCTGGCGATCGCAACAAAGATTGTGAACGCTTTTCCAAAATGAGTCAAACATCATAACAATATAACAATTTACTTCACATTAAATTAAATGAATAGTATCCTCTGTGATTTCGATATTGTTATACAGATTGACTGAAACTTTCAGATCGTTCTCTTTCATAGGTAATTCATTTCATGACTGTACCAGATTACAAAGTTTGCCGCTGCCAAACAGCTAGGTAAGAATCAGAATTTTTCTTTTATTTGCATTCATCACTTAGGCACAGCACCATATTGAATTGTTGTTGTTGTTGTTTTTTTTTTTTCACCTAAACTTAAAACACTCTCGCTTTGTTGATAAATTGTGGCGTCAAGTGTAAGGCAAGAAGCGTACCTTTGATCGACGTTAGCAGTGGCTTCATCCATGATAAGGATCTTGTTGCCTCTGAGAATAGCACGTGCTAGACATATCAACTGACGCTGGCCAACGCTTAAGTTAGATCCTGACTCGGTTAACAAACCGTCCAAGCCGCCAGTCAAGCTGCATATCATGTCACTCAGTTGAACCTGTATTTGTTCCACGCGGAAAATAATAATCACCCTCTGTTATACAAAAAGCCACAAAAACGAAACGAAAAGGCAATACAATAATGCAGATCTGCCACAAAAAGGCGATCAGTCGTCAGAAAAGTGATGGGAAAAAACGCGATTCAAATGATTCGAATGGGGTTGAATTGAAACTCAGAAAAGGCAGAAGAACAGCTGATCAAATTTGTAATATCAGTAAAAATTAAAAAAATTAATCGAGCTGTAAATAGACTGGTCATTCTCACTTTTAATCCATTTAGTGGACTTCGTGTAAGCTTTGGAATCAGTTCAAAATGGACAGTCAGTCCATAGCTGATTATGCCGGCCCAGGTATGGTACACCATTCAAGACAATTAGGCGGATGAAGGCACCATAAAGACTTAAAGTGCACTCTAGTGGATGGACAGGACACAACAGTGTGATTCAAGATCAGGATTGGAGTGTCAGGTTAACTACTCTAACTGGTTATTGATTGGGTAACGGAAGAAAACGGAAATGAAAGAAATAAGATGGAAGGTTACCACAAACGTTGAAAATGTTTAACTTATAGATACTATTGCCCGAATATTGTCAAACAAGCAATACATTCATACAAAGACCCATAAACTGAAGGAAGAGCTGAAAGGTAATGAAGAGAAAAAAATCTCCTCGGATAAATTACTGAGATCTAAGTACAATAAGGAGGGGGGAGAAAAAACGGAGAACTTGATGTTGATCACTCGAGTAACAGAGAGAGAGAGAGAGAGAGAGAGAGAGAGAGAGAGAGAGAGAGAGAGAGAGAGAGGTAAAGAAGGCTTCGAACGAAGTGTGAACAGCAGCAGCCGAAAGAGCTGGCTGACGGCAGAGTTTCGAGGCCTTATGTGCTGCTAAGTTCGAGGGAGATGAGTGACATGAGCCCTTTAATCAAGTAGAGTACAAAACGAAGCACAATGTGTCTATGATCATCGTAACGAGCGATCCCTAGGCGCACCATAAGTGATCCTGAACATGCACAAACTATTGCAGCAATTCTAAAACTGTTTCTCTCTAAAATCTTAAAACAGGTAAGGTATAATTTGGAATAAGGTTAAAGGTGGGGATTGCTGCACTTTATGATGTACCAGTCAACGTCTCACCTCCTGCAGTGCGCGCCATAATTCCATCTCAGAGTATTCATCAAATGGGTCCAAATTTTTCCTGAGTGTTCCACTGAAAAGGACCGGGTCCTGAAAATATATCATCAGTGATCAGAAAAATAAACAAATGATCAGAGGAGAATTCCAACTATAACACAGTATCAGTATGGTTGGAATTCTCCTTTCATTCATTCATTCATTCATTCTTTTATTCACACTTATTCTACTAAAAATACAACAACGAGAAAGAGAAAAAGTAGAAAAAAAAAGAAGAGAGTTCTAACTATACATGAATTTACATAAAGCAGTGGAAAGAGTGTGTAGTAGCCAAAGGAGCCAAGCTTTCGAGTTGGCCACTACCACAGAGCAGTTACGGATGGGTGAAAGTTAAATACACTTAAGGAGATAGCACATATACTAAATAGTTCAAATAGTAAAATAGAGCTCTATGATAGGTTAAAGTTGTTCAAGATGTCTGCCTGCCAAGTAGGAAGAGTTTATATATTTTTTTAAAGCTTTTGGCAGGGAGACACTTTATTTTAAAAGGTATCGTTTGCCAGATCTGTGATGCCACCACACTAAATCTTGCTAGACCATAATTGGTTCTAGAGAATGGTCTGTACAAGTTTTGATTAGTGGCATACCAAGTAGAGTAATTATGGACAGCTGAAGCCGGTTGGGCTAGATCATAGAGGACTGGAGCTATATTCTTTTTTCGATATTGAATTTTAAGCACAAGAGAGCCAATTTTTAATTTAAAAATATTCTCTAATCTTAAGATTTCTAATAGTGTGAAATATGGTGTAGAACTTTCTCTTTTGCTAGCAAAGAAGATGCTGCGGATACCGTTGTTTTGACTTATTTTGATTTTATTTAACCTGGTTTGGTATGCAGTTCCCCAGCACATCAATCCATATGTTAGATATGGATATATGAGAGTATAGTACAGTTGTTTGAGTGTGCTCACAGGTAAATAATGTCTGAGCTTAAATAGAATTCCTCTACTAATTCATGCGTGACGCACCTTCCAGTTGCATCTTTTGACACATGTTTATCATCATCATCATTATCATCTCTCACAAACAACACACAAACTACCTACAACGATGCCTAAACTTTCAACATAGGTAAAGACAACCGGGCCTCAGTTGTTCGTACAAAGGACGAACTTATCCAATATTAACTTATCCAACTTATAAAATAACTTACTACTGTATCATTATTCAGCGGATAAAATGTTGTTGTAAAAAACAGGTATAAAAAAGGTATAACTAATCGGTGGATAAATCGTTACTAAGGAAGTTGCCATGCTCATAGACTTGTGCGACATTTTTCGCACACACGCAGAACTGGCGACAAACCTGGAGGAAAGTCTTGAGTTGTCGAAGCCAATTAATCAATCTCCGGCTACTTGGAAGGACAGACCCGAAGCCAAAAATCTAATGTCTTTCCGCTGACATAGTATGGTTACGAATTCGTCGGCTACAAGATCCATGATATGGTTAACCCTTCTTTCCGTAAAAGATATCAGAGCCAGTATACCACTGACGTAGAAGGAGCTGATGGTGAATAGCTCTCTTCTTTTCAGGCGGTTTACTGTTAAAAATCGTCTCTAAGAGGATGATGTATCCCATGATCCATACACTTTTCTACGTTTATCCGATAAAAAAAATATATTTATCATCTACCTAACTTCCACAAGTTTACATTACCATACTCGTCTGTTTATAGGCGTCGATTAGATCGCCGCAATCAGAAAACATCAGGGGTATTCCGGGCAATTAATACTTAACCACATACCTGTGGAATAACTGACAATCTGGACCTCAACTCGTGGAGACCGAGCTCTGAAATGTCAATGCCGTCGATCCTTATCGTTCCACTAGAATCAGCGAGCCTCAAAAGAGCTGCTAACAATGAAGATTTACCAGCACCAGTTCGACCAACAATACCAACCTGTCCAATCGAATAATGTTCCAAAATGTAAACAAAAAACAAATATATTCCACGTTACCGTGGATTTGTTCAGTAGTAGATAACAGATAAGGTCAAATTGAGGTAAGAACAAAAAAAAAGGGTACAGGAGGCGCAGTTAAGTATGACACTGATAATTTTACTTTATATAAATGTGAACAAATCTTTTCCATACTTTAGTATACAGTTATGAATTTGCCTTTTTTAATAAACTTACTTTAAGCCTGTAGTGTAGCCAAACATTTCACTTGAAAACTATTATCAATGCAGGTTGTGTGCGACAAAGGCAAATTTATTTGCACATGTTAGTAAGCTTCTCCGACACCGAGCGCGTTCTCATTGGTTGATGGATATTGTTAAGTTTAGAATCGAGTGGAACGTTGAAGAGCATTTTATAAAAGCAATTGTGCGTGAAAGCTTTTCTCGAGTTAGCACAACCCATTGTAAACACTCATAGAATCCTTTTCTAACCTTCTCCTGTGCTCTAATGCAAAAGTTCACGTTCTTTAAAACCCGTGGGAGAGTAGGGTGATACTTGAACGACACACTCTCAGCAGTTATAAGACCAAGCTCAGGCCAAGTAGCAGGAACAGTTACTTTGCCGTGCCAGTTTCCCTCGGATTCTAGACAACATAACTCCATTATCCTCTCCACCGACGTCATCTAAATGTTATCAAAACAGAGGATAAGCGTTATGCCTCCACCAAATGTTTCTCAAAAATAAGAGAAAAAGTTTTAAGGCTTCATTGATTAATCGTGAGGTATATGTCATTTTCTTCTTTTACACCTTTTCGTGCTTAGAATAGAATAGTGTACAGTGCGGCTTTTCTACTGTTACTTCATAGTCGACAGGCAAGTGCGCCGTGTTGTGCTTTTGTATTTTCAGTCTAAAGATAAACTTACCTGATTTTCTACCTCAGCACTTTGCCTGACACACCACTGAAAATGGCCAGGCAACAAAACAGCATAGGTCAAGCAAAGCCCCACCAAGCCTGCGTCGATTTCTATAAGATAGAAAAAAAAAATACAATTGTAAATTGACAATCACTTAGTGCGTCGCATAAACGATCATTGTATATCGGACGGGTAATCGTTGTTGAACGGAAGGTAAATTGGTAGCCCTCGATCAATGAAAATGCAGTGACGTTTTTCGCTTAAGAGTCATCTGTTTCTGTTCCCACCATCTAAACTTTCCAGGGACTTTGAAAAGGTAAGAACGACAACGATGACTGCAACACCAAAATCTACAAGAAAACAACAACAACAACTACACAACACAAGTGTGATTGATATAGTAATATAGTTTATATCTGACCACTTGCAGCCCAGAGGCTGAATTACGGGTGCAGTGTAAGGTTGAGAACAGACGTCAGCATATCAGGCGCCTCTGGCAGCCGCTTCAGTCAATCGATCTCACCTTCCCACCAATCCCACCCCAGGGGAGGACATCCATCACACAGTAATCTCGTGTGTGGGAAATTAACGTCTCCTACCCCAACCCTGCAGGAGACGGGACCTCCATTTATTCGTCCCTATCCGAGAAGACTACAATATCAAACCATTTCTTGATGTTATAGAAAGGTAGCAAATTCTTCTCAATTATTTTAAGACCTTGAGTGTTGGTCCGGCCGAGGCTCGAACCCTCGACCTCCCGCACAACAGTCCAGCGGTCTATCCATTGAGCTAACCGGGAGGCGGCATGCTTGCTCACAAATATAACAGAAATGTCCCGTTACTTTCTTCATCGTGAAACGTCTCATATCCAGTGAAAGCACATTAATACGCATTAACTTTCGTAAAGTATAACCTGACACGCTGTCTCGTTTCCCATAATAAATGGGATAATTCGAATGAGTTTGTATCCGACTCCACACACATTAAAATTACACAATCATTCAGAAAACTTTTGTATAGTATAATTTACCTCCTCTTTCAGCAATGAAAAGCGGTGTAAATGATGCCATAAACACAAATAACATACACAGGAAATCCAAACGGTATGCCAACCATCTTGAAGTGGCAATAAAAAGAAACCATGTTTCAGTGTGACGATCCTGACAAATGTTGAACTCGTGAATCATAACATCCTGCAGACTGTGACTCCGGATGGAGGTCAGGCCGTCTAATGTTGTTACCAAGTGAGATAACACTGGGCTCCGGGCTGAAAGAACACAAGCCACAATATTACAATATAAGACACAATATATATATTAATTTTGTGCTTTCAATGAACTACAGTTAAAGAACACGAACGCCGCAGCTTATGAAAAATTTACGAAAGCAAAGTTTATTGGGTTACCTGTGCCTTCAAGGCGTTTTATTTCTCTGGTGGTCTTCAAGTAATAGTTTCTCAGACAACAGAATACAAGTATAAGAGGAACCACTCCCACCAAGATGAAGGGCATTGTTATCACATTCATACTCACAACCGCTACAACCAGCAGACCAAGCTAAAGACAAAACAAAATCAGCCAGTAAGATAAGTTTGCTACTCACATTCAGATCAACACCAGTTATTAAGGCATGGAAAGGCTTGCTTGCATCTGACTGGGTATTGTGTCTGGCAATTGAGTATTACTGAGTATAGCAGGTTTGATTTGTCCCAAAGTTAATGGTAATGCTAAATCTGATTTACATGACATACTTTCTTCTTCTCGTCTTTGCATGCCATTTCTTAACAATGTAACAGAGTCTCGTTGGAAATATAAGACAAAACATCTGATAGCCCTTTAACTATGCAGCGAACCACTCTCTTAACGCATCTAAGAAAGTAATGAAGCATAAAGGCCGCCTGAACATGATCAGGAAAAAAATATGCGCTGTATGGTGAAAAAATGCGCTGAAATATGCGCTGTATGGTGTATGGCTGTATGGCTCTTCGCAGCCTTATGATAACGTAATGGCCACCACTGCAACAACTCAGTTCATTCTTGGAGCCTTTCTAAGTGGTCCAAGTCTTCAAGCGACCACCTCGCGTTTTAATCTTTAATTTTGTAAACATTTTGAGGGATAAAACAGATCTAAAAAATCTACAAGTGTGTGGTTACAAACGATGGAAAATTACTGACAGCAAAGCATAACGCACGTTATCATAATTATGCAGTTCTTCACCAACAAGCGATATTGACGGTTAGCTAATCATGTCTGAGAAATGCTTAGTCCCAAACACTAGACCAACAATATCACGTTGATGACATTCCAAGGTTATCTATCTAAAATCATTCTTTTCTATCGACAAACGGAAAGTAACTGAAACAAAGCAATAAAACCCACAACACCTGGAGAAAGTCCAAAAATGTCTCCGGGATAAGGGTATCCATGTATGCAGTGTCACTGGAGAACCGGTTGAGGATCCGACCTGAAAACAAAAACAAAACTACTTTCTCAGTGGCAATTAAACCTTGACTTGAACGTCGAAATTAACTAAACCCTTCGAGCATCCAACGTGCCTCAATCACCGTACACAATACCCACTCGGAGAACGATATCGCTAATTTGTCTGGGTTCGAATACAGAGATAAGATCTAAAATTTGGCTACCAGTGATCACCATACCTGTTGGATTCGTGTCAAAGAAGAAAACCGGTGCTCGAATAACAGCATCAAACATATTATTGTGAAGCTTGACAGACGCCGTCACAGTTGCATGAAAGAACAGCAGAACCCGGAGGAACGACAGAACGAGAGTTGTAGTCACCAGACCTCCGTAAATGATCATGTGAGTGTTGTGTTTGCTCGCTTCTCCATCCATGGGGTAACGCATAACTGCTTGAACAAATTTGAATACGAACAAGTCTTGACCTTGAGAATTCGACCTAAAATAGTATACGACAATTACTAGCTACACCGAGTAAATAAGGTAAAGATAAATAAAGATTTTATAATCAAAAACTGTGACAGATGCATCCTCCGCTGACTAGTAAATTATTAGCCAATGACGGCATTATGGGTTGAATATTCTCCGTAAAGTGGAAAGTTCGCCGGAATAACTGTCCTCAATGACTGATAACATACTAAACTTCTTACCACTGTGATAGCCACCAGTCACTTAATGTGAACACACCCTGAGAAATAAAACAAACTTGAAGTTCAAAATTAAACGATCAACAAATACTCCAAGAAAGCATCGTCGAGGACTACACTGAGGAAAGAGTGACAAAATCTCTCTCATAAAGAGAAAGTTGTTATTTAAGAAAAGCATTAAAGGCAAAAGCGTTTCAGTCGAATTTGTAGTAAAATTTTTTATTCTGATTGGTAAATGGCGTACCATTTTTTTTTCGTAATACGAGTGCAATTACAAGATGCTCCAATTACAGTTTTGAATAAGGTATTTCTGTTAGTGGCCACGCTCTCTTTCACATACAAAGATAAAAATACATTGTTCGTTAACTTTCACCAAAGCAGGCTTTTCAAAGACAATACTTTACGATAATTTACAATTAATTATTATTACTTATTATTAACCATGAATTGAAATCTAGAAACACTTAGAACACTATTAAGATCAAAGATGATGTATGCAGAGAAGACACAGGCATACAAGGAGAAAAAAGGAACTCAGGCTGCTCCCAAAAGGGCTCGTACCAACGAGCTTCCGATAAGTAACTCGGTTGATCTACCAATGAGTCAGAGGTGACTCGCCGCAATACGTCCATGGTGAAAAACTTCCAGCGTACTGCTTGGATAGCAATTACAACTGAGCTACAGGAGACTTGTAGCAAGCTATGCTGTTTAATTTCTAAGACTGCGCTCAAAAACAGATTTGAAGTTCATTACTCTTAAAAGAACTGTCAATGAGTCCCATACATCAACTGTTGTATACAAGAAAGTTATCTAGCCGTATTTGCTACAATTTTCGAGTGTACAATAAAACTTTTCTGATAGGTTTTGTACCTGGCTTCGAGTAAAAAAAGAAATTTTCTAGCCTCCACACTTAACCATAATAGAACAAATTAATAACAAGTCTCCGTTTGTACCACTCAGGGCAGTCGTGCATGTTCGTGATTATAAGACTCCCTCGTGCTAAACGCTTCGTTTGATTTTTCTAACTTTCTACAAATTTCACCCTGCTTTGTTAAATTACAGCATACATGACAGTGTTACCTGAGCACATACACAGAGTACCACCAGCAGAAGCAACACCAGGTCATTTCCCCCTGCTCGGAAGTATCTCACATACAAACTCCACGCAATACTTCCTCTTGGTCGCTCTTCAGTATCAACCTGCGGTTTCTCTTTTGCCTTAGAGAAAAATCGTCACATTTTGGCAAAGATAATAAAATTTATGTACTAACTGACTGAGTGGGAAAACTCAGTCAATAAGCATTTTATCATGTGACCATTTAGTGTTGAAAATTTCATACTAAATAACGCGATAGACGGGAACACGCAGCCACACGAGCGCATACAAATCTGCATTAGAACCTTTTTGTCTCTTCTTTCAAGTCAGAACAAGACACTCCCAATTCCTTGAAAAACACTACTTTTCTTTCCTCGTTTCTGTTTCCTTTAAGTTTGTGCAACAAAGAAACGTGAGGAGAACAGGGCCGGACGGCGTTTTCCGAACCGGCTCACGTCAAACCGTCCGGCCCTTCACTCGTCAGCTTTCACTATGGTTTTCTATGGGACTGCGTGAGCCGGGACCGCGTGAGCCGGGACTGCGTGAGCCGGGACTGCGCGAGCGGGACTGCGTGAGCCGGGACTGCGTGAGCCGGGACTGCGCGAGCGGGACTGCGTGAGCCGGGACTGCGTGAGCCGGGACTGCGTGAGCCGGGACTGCGTGAGCCGGGACTGCGCGAGCGGGACCGGACCGGTTATATGATAAAGCGATTTATCCTTCAACTCTTTGATACCGGTACAACTTCCGCGCTAGGGATTTCTACAAGCATTGTTTTGTATCACATTTTCGATGTGATGAAGAGCCAAGTGTTCCACACCATGACTGGCGGACACATCGTATCGTGCTCTATTTCTCAGTTTACCTTTTTTGTAATAATGTAGTCCCCTTTCTTTTTAAGCTAACAAAGTTTTGTTCCCACAGCCAGTGCTACCCATGTCTTCTAGATAGGGTGCGGGAAGTTCTTATCAAATCCAACTTTTTCGCTGAAATTCGAGTGGTGGTGAAATAAAAGAAAACAAAACAAACACAGATACAAACAAGCTTCTGTGCAAGGTCAGGAAAAATGTTTTGACAACACCAAATGCTAAGTACTGACCAAAAGGAACATGGATGTAGAAAAGCGGTTTTCCGAGCCAAGGAGGATTTACGCTCCTTCAGATGAAAAACTGACAGTTTGTTAACGAAGTCAGATGGACGTCAGGTGGCTGATATCATCGCAGGGCTCCTCCAAATGGAAATGCAAAATTCGAGCCCAGAGTGTGAAAAAGAACGCAACAGTTAAGCATACCTTGCTAGCCATGGCCTCGAAGTCTGCTTCTATATCAATTGACGATGCAGTACTCCATCGGTTGAAAGCATTCATACCTTTAGCCCCACCCCCTCTTCTGAAAATAACATCGTGGACTGGATAGGGTTGTACTGGCTCTGAATCCTCGTCAATAGCACTATCTTTGTCATCGTTATCGTCGTCATTATCATCATTACGGACCCTCAGCAAGGAAACCAGATCTATACCCGCATTGACAAGGTCCGTGTAACTTCCACGACTATGAATTTTTCCCTGCAAACCGAAGCCAGTCAGAGGCATACAATCAGTTTGTGGCACCGTCAATAATTATATCTTACCTTAATGAACGCGAGTTATCCCAGGCGTACCAATATTCCGAAGTATTCCTAAATAACGGATCAAACCATGCTAACTAAAACTTAAGGAAGGTGGTTTTGTATCCTTTTGCCTCAGAGGATTTCTTTGTGGTGACTGGGAAAAATTACATCAGTACTGTAGGGGACTCCCTGAAAAGACAAAAGTACTGTAGGCTATAGACATGCCTCTTGGAGAGAAGGCACAAGATGGTATCCTTTATAAGGCCCACCTACAAATTTAAGTTACACATTTTGGCGGGTAACTCTCCAGTTTAAAACCGCAAGGAATGGAAACTTGGCCAGATTGTATATTAAACTTTTTTCAGTGGCCTAAATTCTTAGCTTCAGGTATTTGGTAGTTCGGAAATTAAGTTTTATCAAGTTTTTGATGGCTTGACACAGAGCTGCCTTCAAAGACAAATTTCTACATATAGCCTTATTACCTTGATGATCAGCTCCTTACTTTTTCAAGATATAAAATTTCGGTCGCATTGCGAAGGTACTGAAGTTGATGGGTGACGAGGACTCTTGGACACTGTCTCAGAAGTCCATCGATGCACCTGTACAAAGTAATCACACACTTAGCATTGCAAAAAGTTCCCAACTTTCGGCTCCATTTCAATATCCAATCTGCTGAACAGCTCCAAGTATAATCCTGGGCTGCAAGTGATTCCGTTGAAAAATCTCTAAAAGTATGCACTTTTTTTCCGGAAGTCCCAAGCTAGACGGCTAACTCATCGCAAACTTCAACCAAAATAATAAAAAAATTAATAAAGTGAGGCGTGAGTAGTCCAGTGATCAGTGCGCTGGATTCTGGGTCAGACGACCTGGGTTCAAGTCCTGGCTGGGGCTTGACGTTGTGTCAGTTAAGCAAGACGCTTCACTCACATTGCTTCGTCTTCTCGGATAGGACGTAAAGCCGGAGGTCCCGTCTCTTGCATCTGTCAATTAGTTAATTTGGTTAGGCGGGGGACGTTAGAGAACCCACATCACGAGATTACTGTGAGGTGGTCTGGTCTGTTTACTGGGAATTGGGGGGAGGGGGCATCTGTAAAATTTCTCCTTTGTTGATCATAAACTGCCACTGGCACTCTGGAAAAGTCCCCGGCACAGTGTTGTAAAGCGCATTAGATCATTACATGGTAAATGCGCAATAGAAATTGATAAAATTATTATTTAATTATTATTATAAAGAAATTGTACTGATTTTGTTTTGAGGTCTGTATCAAAACCGGAGAAAATCAGCTACTTTTCCTTTTTCGCTGTTCTTATTAAGAGGCTTTTTTATTAAGAGTCAACAGCTATTCACCTCAGTGTTAGTGGCCAGTGCTGGATATTTGCCGAGCTGCTAAGCAGCGACGTAAAAATCCACCGATAGTGTCAGATAGTATAGCTAAAAAAATATGCTTCGTCGCTCCGACGAAGGGCTAGCGCTCGAAACGTCAGCTTTTATAATCGTAACGGTGGCCAATTTACCATTTCAACTTTGTTGATATATTCAAATTATTTCGTTACCCCCACCGACGCAGCCCCAAACAGTTTCTTTAGAAACTATCAGCCTTTATTCATTTGTTCCATAATGTGGCGCCATTGTAGCTAAAGCAGCTTTTACTGTAATAATTAGTACGCGGTAATGGTACACTGAGCTTATTTTCAGAGTCCCTGAGGTCATAAGCAGAGTCACCCCACGCAAACTTTGAATACACGTACTCTGGAGCTAGCCCGTGCAGACATCTAAACATCATGGTGGCTTTATGTATTTCCTGCTGGCGTGCAAGATTTTTCCACCTTAAAAACTCGGGTAGCTTTGTTGCATCAGCATCATAGTTAGAGAATGTCAACACACGGGCTGCTCTATTCAGCAATTTCAGCAGTTTGTCTCGTAGCGTTTTCCCATGCACAGCTACCCCAAACAATGTCACAGTAATCAAAGTGAGGTTTTACTAAAGCTTGGTAAATGAGATGTAAGGTTGATGCTGGGATCAAGTGCCTAATTCGCTTTAGGGCCCCGATACCAGAGGCGTTCTTTTTCGTTAATTTTTCGATGTGACTATGCCAATCGAGTTTATCGTCTATTGTTACACCAAGCGATTTTGTAGCTGTAACCTGGCTCACTTGAGTATTGTTCATTCTAATTGTTGGTGAAGCTGTGAGAGTATTCAGTCTCTGCTTCAACCCTCTTAGCATGAATTCGGTTCTGGTCATGTTCAATGTGAGTTTGTTCGCTTGTAGCCAGTTGAAAACGTTTGCTAGGTCTTCATTTAGACAAAACTGAACATTCTCAAGTTTGCTGCCCGCATATGTGAGGTGAGTGTCGTCAGCGTACATTCTCGGTTTACGATTTGATAAGCAATTTGGAAGATCGTTGATATATAATAAGAACAATAATAATAATAATAATAATAATAATTTAATATTTATATTGCGCAAATTAACATGTGGATATGATCAAATGCGCATCACAACACTTTTCGGGGGACTTTGGCCGGACTGCATCAGCAGTTTACAAACAATCGAAGGAAACTTATTTGAAGATGCCCCCTCCCCCCAATTCCCAGTAAACAGGCCAGACCACATCACAGTAATCTCGTGAGTGGGTTCTTTAACGTCCCCTGCCTAACCAAATTAACTAATTAATAGATGCAGGAGACGGGACCTACGGTTTATTCGTCCTTATCCGAGAAGACTAGAATGTCTAACCATTTCTTGATATTATAGAAAGGTAGCGCATTCTCCTCAGTTACTTTAAGACCTTGAGTGTGGGTCCGGCCGGGGCTCGAACCATCGACCTCGACCTCCCGCACAACAATCCAGCGCTCTAACCAATTGAGCTAACCGGTAGCCAATCAGAGCTTACCTTCGACACTACCCACTGTTTTAGAACATGCTAATGAAAAACAATGACAGTTGCGCACACTTCCACCACGTCTGTCAAATTTTGCCAAAAGTGTTACTGATAACAATAGAGAAACCAAGAAAACCTTTGCGGCCAAGCACGTTACGTCTCACTTACTCATCAAAAAGTTTCCTTCCCACACGGACATCTACAGCACTGAGTGGGTCATCTAGAATATAGATATCTGCTTTAAAATATACTGCCCTGTAATAAATGATAATAAAAACTGAAATGAGAATATGTCTCAAAAGCGTTACGAACATTTCGACAAAAATTCCCTTCTTCCTTCATAGCCAATTACGAGGTGTACAAGAGAGCCATCTTGACTAAAAAAAGTCAAGAAAAAGTAAAAAAAAAAAACATTTTGCGACAACCGGGACAGCAGCCGTTTTTGAACCACGCATTGTGATTTTATGTGTGCGGCCAAGATACCTCAGGTCGTCCAAACTCGATCTATGGGCCTTCGTAAATATGTGATCATTTGAACGAAAGATAGGGATATGTAAGGAAATAAACAGTCTCAATCGCCTCAAAATCTGACCTAGTTTGGAATCGCATCCGTGTTTGTTCCATTGCATTCTGTTGAATTGCATCATGGGTCGTTTAGCGCAGTTTTAGTTAATTTTCTTTGTCTTCTATGTAACACTTATTCTCCTGCATAGTAACATTGCCAATAGTACACTTAATCTGCTTAAAAACTATGATAATCAGTCAGTGATTAAACTAACCTTGCCAGACAAACTCGTGCCTTTTGTCCACCACTGAGCGTCACGCCTTTTTCTCCAATAAGGGTCAAGTCTCCCTCAGGAAGTAAATCGATATCCTTCACATAGAGACATTGACAACAACAGTAAGTTGCGTATGATGCACGATCCTCGCAGTAGAGAGCGCTATTTATGCAATAGCGAAAATCAGACCTGAAAAAAATCAGGCCTGTACGGGAT